AGCGCGGCTCTGGCCCCGGGTCCCGGCTTGCTGCCCAGGGTCCTCACTGCGTGCCCCTCCCTACAGTGCTGCCAGATCCTGGTAGTTAACGGCGCGGAGCTGGACGTCCGCGACCGCGACGGGTACACGGCCGCCGACCTCTCGGACTACAACGGCCACAGCCACTGCACCCGCTACCTGCGCACCGTGGAGAACATGGTACCCACTGGGCGCTGCGTTATTTCACCCCCACCCTACCCCTACCTCCCCCTAGATGTGGGTTTTGTTGCCCCTTTTATCACGGAGAAAGCTGAGGTTCAGGGAAGTGAAGCCCTTTGCCGAGGTCACACAACCTTGTCCACGACCCCAAGATGACCCAGTGACCACTGACCACTGGGGAATGACGGGGTGGAGGCAAAAATGTCGAGGGAAGGAAGACCAGCTTCGCCCTGATGAGAGCCAAATCTCGGAGATACAATGACACTTCCATACCATAGGAAACAATAAAGTGCACTCACCTGCCCACAGGTATTAGCTGATTTAAGTAGGTAGTGCTTGCCTCCCTATTTCACAGGTGAGTAAACTGAGTCTTAGGAAGACCCAGGATCACAATTATCAAGGGCTGGAGCTCAGGTGGCCTGGACCTACCTCTCCACCACTACACCTTATGTTTACTTACTGCTTGGCTACTTCATACTTGGAAACACATGTTACACTTTTAAAATTACTTTATTATGGTTACACAGCCGAGAAGTAACCCAGTGGGACTTGAGCTCAGGTGTGGATGGCTCCCAGTCCGGGGCTTTGCTGCATCTGGTGTAATGCCTGCTTTGGCACAGGAGGGAGGAAAAAGGGCTGGCTTCACAGGCATCTTCAGCCTGGCCATGAGAGGGGCTGCAAAACGAGGCTGGAGGAGAGAAGGCGGATAGCCCCCTGCCCAGAGCACTGTCTGCCCTACCTTCGAGCACACGGGGGCACCCTGGTTCTGGGAACTCCAGAGCACAGAAAGGCCCGGGGGTCAAAGACTGCAGCTGGTCCCAAGGAAGAGTTTCCTCCCAGAAAGGGCCGCCCAGAGAGAGCAGTGACCCAGCAGATAGTGAGTGCCCTGTCGCTAGGGTATACAAGCAGGAGTGGACACTGCAGGGCATTTCTCACCAGGGTTGGGTTCCTTTCCACTGAGAGAATCTGTGATTCTGTTGGAGGGGGTTGGCACCAGCCCTCCACCACCTCCTGACGGAGGCTTCAGCTGCAGACAAGAACAACGAATTCGGACCCCAGGAGGTACCCTGCTGAGTGCTTTATGGTGTAATCTCAGTTAATCTTCACAGTACATTAATACTAATAGTTGACATGGATGGCATTTAATGGCCACCATGCCCAGCACTTCACTAATTTTTAAAATCCTACAACCTAATAGGGCCGGCAGTCCTGTTATCCCCATTTACTACCTGAGTTTCTGTGTGTACCTACAGACTTAGAAAGGATACGTGACTTGCCCAAGGTCATGTAGCTCACAAGTGGGGGAGGTGAAATTTGAAGCCATCATCACAGGCTACAAAGCCTGTGCCCCTAACCTCTGTTATCCCTGGGCCAGGGCCAGGCACCCCTGTGCCCACTGCTGCCAGCAGTGGAAAAGAGCATTTTCAGGTTGTCCCCCGAAAGCCCAGCTCTGTCCCCCGAAAGCTTGGCTCATGGGTTGGGCAGCAGGGCCTGGCCCCCTGAACTGGGCGGGGTGTGGAGGCCCTGATCCCCTCCCCAGGCGGGCCCAGCTGTGGCAGTGACAGATCCACGCCATGGAGGACACTGGCCCAGAAAAGGCAAACACTCCCGCAGAGCCCATAATTACGGGGCCAATGAGCGTGGCCGCTGAGCGTTACCTGGTGCCAGGCCTGCCTCCCACTCCCGGGGGGCCTGTGACACTTCTCAGGCAGGGCGGGGGCGCGGGGCAGGGAGGAGCGGGCCTGGGCAGGAGGCAGCGAGCAGCGGTCTTGCCGGCAGCAGGCCCAGCATGGGCAACGTAAGCAGGGCCCCCCCGCCGCCTGTGCCCATGCGGGAGGGTCAGGCCTGGTCGGGGGTCGGGACGGGGGCGGGACGGACGGGAACGGAACGGGTACGGGGGGGGGGGTCGGGGGGTACGGGACGGGACGGTCGGGTACGGTACGGCCGGT